ATGACCAATTGTGGACCGACTGAGATCTACGTTGGTAGTATGATTTCTGTTCATATTATATTTGTATGTACAAAATTTGCTGTTGATACCGATATATTTGATTGAGTTATTAACGATAAACTAATTTCCGGGAATATATACCTTTGTATGGGGCTATGGGAAATATTGGATCGATTATAAAGATTTTTAACATAATTGATCACTGCCCTAAAAAATAAAGTGTGACAAAATTCATCGCAATATCTTTGGTAGTTTCTGAGAAAACTTCAAAAGAATTAATAAAAAAAACCTAATTTTTTTCGAGGTAGTCTGAAATTTTTACTCATAACTTTTTACGTTCTGAACCGATTTTACTGATTTTCAATACCAAACTGCTTAGGATAATAATAAATATTTTGGGTGAATTTGGTTGATTTCCTTTGCTTAGTTTTAACGTGAGCGTGTTTTACACAGACAGACAGACAGACAGACGGACAGACGGACATACCTAAATCGACTCAGAATTTGATAAGGACCCAGAATATTTATACTTTGTTGGGTCTTAGATGAATATTTCTTGGTGTTACACACGGAACGACAAACTTATATATACCTTCTATCACCACTGATGGTGGTGGAGGGTATAAAAATAGGCTTCATCCCAATAAAAGATCATGTACCAAATTTCATTATCTTCAAAATTGCAACCTGTAGTTTAATTACATGGTTTACATGGACGGACAGACGTACGGACATAACCAAATCAACTCAGAAAATGATTCTAAGCCGATTGGTATACTTTAAGGTGGGCATAGGACCAATATTATTGTGCGTTACAAACATCAGTACAAGCCCAATATACCCCCCACTAAAATTGTATAGGGTATAAATATTTGTTACTTTTTTTCGAAAAATATTTGATAGATCTGAACTGAAATTTAGATTTAAACAAATGATCTTTAAATAGGAAAAGTGTAAGTAAAAATTATGGTTCCAAAGTTCAAATCTGTAGCTTCAAGACTACACTAAAGCTAAGTGGTTTATGCACAAAACAAAATGAATGTATAAAATTGGGAATAATTATTATAGCATCGATGAACATGTTGAAATTGTTTGTTGGGTTATGGATTAAATTTTAATATATTATATCATAAAAGACTATTTCATTTGAGATAATTGTTTTTGAATTTATTCAAATAGATTATTTATCTAATTCAAATTGCCCACAACCAATGAAATTTTAAACAATTTTCAAAAAGATAAATTTATAAAAAATTTTCTAAAACATAATTTATAAAAAAAAAAAAATTTAAAGAAAAAATTTATAAAAAATTTTCTAGAAAAATAAAAAGTTTTAATTTTTTATAAAGAAAAAATTTATTGAAAATTGTATGCAAAATAGTTTGCTCTTTCAATTTACAATACAAAATTTATGTACAACATACATATTTATGTACGTAGTATATTTCTGAATTGGCGCCCTTCATATTTGTGTCATTGTCATTTTTTTCAGTCTTTTCATCAATTATGAATTCCCTTAATACATCCCATTTTATTGACAATTCTAAAACCGCTAAAATAAAGCATACAACAAATGTTTGTGTCAGAAAATTCCAGTTTTTAGCAAAAAAAAATTGATACTGAATTCAATTTATGGTAATTTTTACGCAACATAACACTAAAATAAAAAAATAAACACTAAATAAATTCATACATAAAATAAAAAATTACAAAAAAAAACTAAAATAAAACAAAACCCAAAAAATTACAACCAATTTGCGAAATGTTGACAGAAAAATAAAACAAGTACGAAAATGTAATCGGGTTAGTTCGACTGTTAAATACCCTAGATATAAAAATTTATTTGCTTTGAAATTTAACGTAAATTTCGGATAAGGTTTTTCATGAGTCGAATAATAAATTTCTATTTATTATTTTTTTTTAGTTTTATTAAATAAACAATCTTGTATATATTGGTATAGGGTATAAAAAAATTTACATATGTGTTTGATTGTACATATTGGATGGGTCATAGACATCAATATAAAAAACTACAACAACAATTTTAAAAAATAATAAAATACTATCGTCAAATATAAAACCAAAAAAAAATACTACTAAAATTAAGTACGATTGAATAAAATAAACAAATCAAATGACCAATCCACGTACCAACAACAGCGCGACCATCAACAACAGCTATAATAAAATCAAAATTTTAACCATTGTTAAAAATAGTATAGTGCTTCTCTTCAACTCTCTTCTACATAACGAACTGTCTACCTGCAATACCTTCAATTACCTGCAATAAATATTCCAATCGAAAAAAAACTCACAGATACAAATGTATTTATGTATGTGCGGATGTACTCACAATTTAGTTTAGTTAGTATTTAATGTTTACTTTTTTATCAAAAGCCACCCATTGACGAAGAAGAGCTGATTTGTTTATTTATCCATTGTATAATTTATTTTTCTGGTTGTTTAATTTTTGCATTAAAGTTATCACAGTGTTGTCAATATGAAATAAAAATAAAACATTTATCGAGCTTTGGGTAGAAATTAAGAATTTATAAGCTGAGATTTATCGAAAATTTTCTATAAATCGGAAAATAATAAGTAATGAACTGAACTAGGGAAAAATATAGTTTTTTTGAAGGGGCTTCAGTTTCCAACTAGCGATTAAAAAATCTCAGTAAAATATGTTAAGAAAAATCTGCATGTGAGAGTTGGTTCGTTAGTTAGCTAGTTAATTAGTTAGTTAGTTGGTTAGTTAGTTAGTTAGTTAGTTAGTAGTTAGTTAGTTAGTTAGTTAGTTAGTTAGTTAGTTAGTTAGTTTAGTTAGTTAGTTAGTTAGTTAGTTAGTTAGTTAGTTAGTTAGTTAGTTAGTTAGTTAGTTAGTTAGTTAGTTAGTTAGTTAGTTAGTTAGTTAGTTAGTTAGTTAGTTAGTTAGTTAGTTAGTTAGTTAGTAGTTAGTTAGTTAGTTAGTAGTTAGTTAGTTAGTTAGTTAGTTAGTTAGTTAGTTAGTAGTTAGTTAGTTAGTTAGTTAGTTAGTTAGTTAGTTAGTTAGTTAGTTAGTTAGTTAGTTAGTTAGTTAGTTAGTTAGTTAGTTAGTTAGTTAGTTAGTTAGTTAGTTAGTTAGTTAGTTAGTTAGTTAGTTAGTTAGTTAGTTAGTTAGTTAGTTAGTAGTTAGTTAGTTAGTTAGTTAGTTAGTTAGTTAGTTAGTTAGTTAGTTAGTTAGTTAGTTAGTTAGTTAGTTAGTTAGTTAGTTAGTTAGTTAGTTAGTTAGTTAGTTAGTTAGTTAGTTAGTTAGTTAGTTAGTTAGTTAGTTAGTTAGTTAGTTAGTTAGTTAGTTAGTTAGTTAGTTAGTTAGTTAGTTAGTACTAGTTACTTAGTTAGTTAGTTAGGTAGGTAGTTAGTAAGTTAGTTAGTTAGGTAAGTTAGTTAGCTAGTTAGTTAGTTAGTTAGTAGTTAGTTAGTTAGTTAGTTAGTTAGTTAGTTAGTTAGTTAGTTAGTTAGTTAGTTAGTTAGTTAGTTAGTTAGTTAGTTAGTTAGTTTAGTTAGTTAGTAGTTAGTTAGTTAGTTAGTTAGTTAGTTAGTTAGTTAGTTAGTAGTTAGTTAGTTAGTTAGTAGTTAGTTAGTTAGTTAGTTAGTAGTTAGTTAGTTAGTTAGTTAGTTAGTTAGTTAGTTAGTTAGTTAGTTAGTTAGTTAGTTAGTTAGTTAGTTAGTAGTTAGTTAGTTAGTTAGTTAGTTAGTTAGTAGTTAGTTAGTTAGTTAGTTAGTTAGTTAGTTAGTTAGTTAGTTAGTTAGTTAGTTAGTTAGTTAGTTAGTTAGTTAGTTAGTTAGTTAGTTAGTTAGTTAGTTAGTTAGTTAGTTAGTTAGTTAGTTAGTTAGTTAGTTAGTTAGTTAGTTAGTTAGTTAGTTAGTTAGTTAGTTAGTTAGTTAGTTAGTTAGTTAGTTAGTTAGTTAGTTAGTTAGTTAGTTAGTTAGTTAGTTAGTTAGTTAGTTAGTTAGTTAGTTAGTTAGTTAGTTAGTTAGTTAGTTAGTTAGTTAGTTAGTTAGTTAGTTAGTTAGTTAGTTAGTTAGTTAGTTAGTTAGTTAGTTAGTTAGTTAGTTAGTTAGTTAGTTAGTTAGTTAGTTAGTTAGTTAGTTAGTTAGTAGTTAGTTAGTTAGTTAGTTAGTTAGTTAGTTAGTAGTTAGTTAGTTAGTTAGTTAGTTAGTTAGTTAGTTAGTTAGTTAGTTAGTTAGTTAGTTAGTTAGTTAGTTAGTTAGTTAGTTAGTTAGTTAGTTAGTTAGTTAGTTAGTTAGTTAGTTAGTTAGTTAGTTAGTTAGTTAGTTAGTTAGTTAGTTATTGCATTAAATATTTAAATTACAACTCTTCCAAAGCCTTACTTTTCACGAAAAAAAATTCAGTTCGACATAAATCACAGGATCCAAACACGTACTTTGTGTTCAGATAAAAATCTAAAATATTTCAACAATATTTTTATTAGACTACATGTTTAGAATTTAAATAACGAACAAAAACGGCAAAGGGAGCAACACTCCCAAATTCATCATGAACTCTCCTCTCCGACCGCTGTTTTTAGCATTTGCTATGTAGATTGCCACAATATTTTATATGATGTTTATGATAGTTAAAGCGTTAAAATCATACAAAAACAATACAAGTATAGTAGAGTAGTTATAATAAACTATACTTAAATTCGTTGTTATTTGATAGCTGTATTTAAATGTTGTTAAACTTAATAGTTTTATATCAGCTGTAAATCAGAGCGAAAGTCTAAACTGGGCTGGTAGGTTTCAAATGTAAAACGATGTTGTGCTTACTTGCTCTTTTGCCAGTCTTATCAATGACACCACATACGACTATTATTTATTTAATATAAGTCTTTTGCTCAGCTCAGTTATCGTAACTATCAAAACATCGTCCGTCACATACGTTTCAAACTGAACGCAAACAGTCGGTGCGCGCATGATCATCGAAATACACAATATAGCCGCCGTTTTCGTTACAAAAATAAATTTAAATTATTTTTCACTAAACAATAAATAAATTACAAGTTTACAATAAAACGAGGAAAATGTTTAATTTTGATGCTTAAACTACAAGTGTGATAGATAATGTCTTTAAATATTTAATTGAAATATTAAACGTAATTTTTGTTTGTGTCGCTCGCTGTCTATTGGATTTTGTGTAAATTTAATGGAATATTTCTTTCAAGTGTTCATTGTTTATTCGAATACATAAAGAAGAGTTTTAAACAAAAATGATTTTAAGAAATTTTTTAAGAAGACGCACCTTTTATTGTAGCAATTTAATCGTTTTTATTGTTGTCATACAATATTTGCAACAATTTACAAATGCCGTTAAGTTATCGGGCAAATATTATCCATCGGGTGTGAATTTTTTTGAACATGAATTTCCTAGTTTAGCAGCAGGTGTGTAATAGTGATTATGTTTAAAGAAATGGTTTATTTGTGTTAAAATTTTGTAATTTTTTTCTTTTGGTTCTAATATGTGCGAGAAGTAGAGCGTGTCAAAATGTTTTGAAAAAATACGCATAAATTAAAAATGAAAACTATATTTTGTTAAATTAATAAAAAAAATTAAAAAGTACCTAATGCATATTAATGTTTAAAACGTAAAAGGAGTATAAATCTAAATTTTAAAATAATATTAGCGAACTTTACTTTTTACCCCTACCATTAGGGTTGTCGGATTTAAAGAAAGATTGAAGTTAGAAACGCAGTAGTCATAGAATCTAATCATAGTCGAGATGATTTTGAAAACGACAAAATAATACAGTGATTTAATAAAGTCCAACGTAATTGGTTTTTTATTCGAAATAGAATATAGGTCGCAATTTTGTAGATAATTGAATTTGGTACACGCATTAATTTTGAACAACGGACGAACGAACCCTATTGATTTTGGTTGATATTGGTCCATTATTTCACCTAGCCCCCAAACAACCGGACCCCCTAAATTGGGATTTGGCGCTCATTATTATGCCAAATGTACTAATATCCCTACAAAAATTGGCAAAATTAAGTTTAATACAAGCATAAATGATACTGCAAAATTTCGTAATAAGCGGCCTTTATTTAACCCTAGCCGCCTTGCAAAGTCCCCCTCTGAAAATGCTTGAACGTCGTTAATTCCCTTATAAACACGTGTATTCACTGAAATTCGGCATGATTAACTTCAATGTCGACAAAAATCCCTCCATCAAATTTTGTTAGGATCGGTTCATATTTGACCGTAGCCCCCATATATAGCCTCCATCAAAAATATATCGAAATTATGGAAAAATTCAACATAAATGCTTTACTATTAACATTGATACAGATTTTAGGTATACTCATAACTGGTGTAGGGTATCATATGGTCGGCGACGCCCGACTATACTTTTTAATATATTATTCACTAATTCAAGTTTTGTAGAGTCCCCCGTCCATATAAAACTTATAATAAAACAAGCAAGAAATTATAGTCGGGCGAGGCCGACCATATAATACCCTACACCTGTTACAAATATAAAATGTGATTTAGTTTTCATAATAAAGCATTTAAGTTGAATTGCACCTTGCCTTGAATTATACTTAAGTCATTTATTGTTGAATAAAATTGTGGACATTTAAGTCAAATTTTGAAGGGGGATTTGTATAGGGGCTATGGTCAAATGAGACCCTATAATTATAAAATTCATGAGAGTCATCAAGGCTAGTATAGAAATTGGTTTCGCAGCTTTTTGTCGAGATACGATTATATTAAACATAATTATAAACTTAAAATCCCTATTCGGCGGGTTCAGTTGTATGGGGTCTAGGTGAAATAATGGACCGATGTTAACCATTTTCAATAAGCTTCGTCTTCTGTACCATATAAGATCTTCTGCCAAATTTCATTGAATTATCTTCAAAATTGCGTAGTTTGAATTAAAAGTTTACAAGACCTATTCGGGGGTTCAGTTGTATGGGGGCTAGATGAGAAAATGGACCGATGTTAACCATTTTCAATAGACTTCGTCTCTGGGACAATAGAAGATCATGTGCCAAATTTCATTGAATTATCTTCAAAATTGCGACCTGTAGTTTGATTAAAAGGTTTACAAGCCCTATTCGGGGGTTCAGTTGTATGGGGGCTAGATGAGAAAATGGACCGATGTTAACCATTTTCAATAGGCTTCGTCTCTGAGATAATAGAAGAACATGTGCCAAATTTCATTCAATTATCTTCAAAATTGCGACCTGTAGTTTGATTACAAGGTTTACAAGCCCTATTCGGGGTCTCAGTTGTATGGGGGCTAGGTGAAATAATGGACCGATATTAACCATTTTCAATAGGCTTCGTCCCTGGGACAATAGAAGATCACGTGCCAAATTTCATTCAATTATCTTCAAAATTGCGACCTGTAGTTTGATTACAAGGTTTACATGGACGGACAGACGGACGGACGGACGGACGGACAGACGGACGGACATAGCTAGATCGACTCAGAAAATGATTCTAAGCCGATTGGTATACTTTAAGGTGGGTATAGGACCAATATTATTGTGCGTTACAAACATCAGCACAAATCCAATATACCCTCCCCACTAAAGTGGTGTAGGGTATAACTACAGGTTGCAATTTTGAAGAAAATTGACTGAAATCTGTCCATTATTTTATCTAGCCCCCATTAAACGGAACCAACTGAATAGGTCTTTTAAATTTATAATTATGTTCAAAATCCTTTTCGGAAATATTTCATTAAAATGCATATTAAAAGTAATATATAAGACACCATTAGTATATTATTTCCAATTTTATATTTCAGAATTTTCTTCTTCAATTTCAAAAAGTTCTAACTCAATTTCAGAAATTTTTAATTCAATTTCAGAAATTTGTAATTGTATATCAAACATTTTTAATTAAATTTCAGAATTTACAATTATATTTCAGAAATTTCTGATTCAATTTTAGAAAATTTCTATTGTATTTCAGAATTTTCCTGTTGTATTTCTGAAATTCATGTTTTTCCAAATTTTCCAATTGTATTTTAGAAAATTTTACTTAAATTTGAATAGCAATTGTATATCAGAAAATTCCAATTGTATTTCAGAAAGATTACTTAAAAATTCTATTTTGAAACACAATCAGAAATTAATAAGCATTTTTTTTTTCTTTTTTAGAAGAATACGATCCTTATGGACCCAACCTCAACGAAGATGACACCAATGGCTTAGATGATCCAGAGACAATGCCCCGATTATTTCAAGGTGATATTGCCATTGATCCGTTCACCTACATAACTTTACGTTTAGGTGTAAATCCCACACGACATCCAAAACGTTTATGGCCAAATGGTACCATTCCCTACGAGATCAGTCCCGTATATGAAGATCATGAAAGAAAAACTATAGAACGTGTATTGCAAACCTTCAATGCACTGACTTGCATAAATTTTGTACCCTACGATGGTGAGGAAGATGATTATATACTTATTTCAGCACCCGAAGATGGTCCCAGTGGCTGTTGGTCATATGTAGGTCGAAAGGGTGGAGAACAGATTGTGTCTTTGCAGCGACCGGACGATACGAGCGCTCATTGTTTTAGCAGCGAAGGTCGAATAATGCATGAACTCATGCATGCCATTGGCATATATCATGAACAATCACGTGCCGATCGTGATAATTATGTTAAAATACATTGGGATAATATAGTACCAAAATTTCGTAAGAATTTCAAATTAATTACGAAAAAACGAGCAAAATATGCCTTCGACTATGATTACAATTCCGTTATGCACTATGGTGAATATTATTTTAGTAAGAAGAAGGGTAAAAAACCGACCATGACACCATTACAGCCGGGTGTACGTATTGGACAACGTAAAACGCTGAGTAAAATCGATTGTTTGAAAATTAACGACTTATATGGCTGTCTAAAAGGTCGACGCGCTAAAATGTATCGAAGTTTTTGTTATTTATTAGGTTTATAATTTAATTTATTTAAATGCGATTAATTTGTTGTACCGTTAAATTTATAGTTAATGAATCATATTGATTTTATTGTTTGTTATTAATTTAAGTAGTTTATAATATATCTAATTAACCAAATTATTGTACAATTTTTATATTATTTATAAATTATTTAAATATACATAAATATGATTAACAAAAATACAAAGTAATGTATGTATTTATCAATATGTGGTAAGAACTTCTTTAGACTTCTATAAAACTGTATACATATGCGAAAAATCAAAAATTTTTAAGAATTGGATAAAATTATTTTTCGAAAAATTCTTTCCTTTGAAAAGAACCATATTTAGTGGTTGAATTGGATAACAATTATACTTTTTTAACTTTTTTTGGAATTTCTTTCCAAACTCAAAATTTTGCAAATAAAAATAAATATATATAATAAATATTCGGTTCTTACATATGTATATTATATAGTTTTTGTTAGTTATGAGTGGGAAAATTAAAATGGTCATAGATTAATTATTAATGTTGATTTTTTTTTTCGAAACAATGAAGAAATAGCTATCTGAACTCCTTTGAACAGTTTTTTGCTAGTACCAATAGGTGAAAAGTTCATTTGTTTTTATTACTAAGTTTCAAAAATAACAGATGATAGAAATTCTTAATTATATTATATTAACATAAAAGCAACATAAAAGTTGAGTAAGGATGTGATGAATAATTTTTTTGAGATTATATAGGTATAACAATTCAGAATATTATAATAATACAGATTTGCGTTGAGATTTTTGTTGTTTATTAAAATTAAAATAATATTAAAAACTTGTGAGTATGACCCAGAATATAGATAGATATTCTCTTTTACTCATGTCCCTACATGTTAAATTTCATATTTCTATGTTCAATATATTACAGAAAAGTTCAAAAATTACCATTTGAATAACGAATAAGTCCAAAGATTCACCTCCTATAGATTCTCATACAGCCATGTTAATTTCCCATTCGAGATTAATTAACTATTCAATCAAAGCCTTGTAGAAAATTCAAAAAATTCAATTAGAACGATGAAATAGTGGAATTAATTCTGACTTTGTGGAAAATTCTAATAAAAAGGGTATCTATCATTTTCCAGATATAAATTTTTACATATTGGGGATGCCACGTAAATTATTGCAAGTTCGCCAATTTTTTCAAACGTTAATTTAGATTTTAAAGTAACCTATGAAAAATTTGAATAGTATAATATTTTTTCAGATGGGAAATGTCTAGGTCTTATTGAAAGTCCGCCCATTTTTCTCTAAATGTTCACATGAATGTCAAAGTTTTTCATGTAAAATTTTTGTATTTAGTTCATATGGGAGGTTCTAATTTGCTAGTCCGCCAATGTATTACCAAAATGTTCACATTTATGTCAAAGTATTTTTGTTCTTATAGTTTCCCAGACATTAAATTTTATTTAATTCATATGGGAGGTCTCTTAAACGCGCATATTTCATTGATAAATAAAGCTATCGAAATAAAATTCGGTACGAATATGTTTTCTATATGTATTATCAATCACTCTACGACCTTTTTTCCGGGTAGGTCCGTAATTGGTCATAGCTCCCATATAAGGTCAACTTCCGAAAATAATTTAAACGTACATATTTATTTATTAGCTCAACAAGAAATCGATCCATAATTGGTCACAACTCCCATGTAAGGAGGGATCATTTCCGAAAATAATTTAAATAATGCACAATTTCATTGACGATAAAAGTTATCGGGATAAATAAAATTCAACTTGAATGTGTTTTGTGTATATGTTATATATACACATAAATCAGTCGAACCATAAATTGTCATTCCTTCATAGCTCCCATATAAATAAGGTTTTCTTCTGAAAATCACTTAATACCAACCACATAATTCATTATTAAATGAATAATTATATCCGGATATAATTCGATAGATGAGCAAGCACATTCTGTGTATAGATAATAAAATCATTATGCTAAAAATGTTTTGCAATTGATCCGTTATTGGTCGTAGCTCCCATATAAGGCCAACATCATCGTTTAAAAAGTCCATATGCGAAAATCACTTAAAATAAATTTTTTTCGACGTAATCAAAATAAGTTTTTTTTCGACCTAATCAAAATAAGTTCCAATAGCACCCTCAACTACGGAAACAAAACCTATGCCGAGTTATCTGAAACTATGGGTTTTAATAATATGTAGCCGTATATAGCACTCTAACTTTTTCTATTTAATATCTCTCAAACAAATGCGTAAGTAACTTTAATGGGTCTAATTAAATATTCCATAATTAAAAAATAATAAAACAAAATAAATTTAAATCAATTCGTAATCTCAAACACACACAACAAAACAAGTAAATTTAAATAATAAATATGTAATTAGCATACTTTCAGGGCTGTCTAATCCAAAGATTTTAAAAATTTTGACATTTTCCGTGGTGAATTTATATTTTATTCACCACAATTTTTTATTCACCACGTTTTTTATATGTAATAAATATGTATAGCATACTTTCAGGGTTGTCATTCAATGACCTTGAAAATTATGACATAACGGTATTTGTGGTGAATTTCTTTGTTTATTCACCACAATTTTTTTATTCACCACAATTTTTTTATTCACCACGTTTTTTAAATTCACCACACTACTCAAAACGTCCAAAAAAATTTTTTTTTGTTGGTTTTTTTTTTGTTTTTTTTTGACTTACCAAATTTTTTTTAATTTTTTTTCTTTGCCGTTGCGTGATGTTTTGGATATCTTTTTTTCTCGTCGTTCGTCCTATTTATTCGAAATTTAAATGAAAAAAGAATATGGGAATTGCGAAAAAAAACAGATTTGACGAAACTTGTGTCATCACTAACAACAATTTTTGTTTATCGGCGATTTATCATCACTAAATTAATTCGTTTCATTAAAAACCAACCCTGTTTTAAAATTTAAAAAAACAACAACTTTTAATACGAAAAAATACAACTCTAAACCAACAAACAGTTGCGCCGCCGCAGTCTCATTTTGCAACGGCTTGACACTGGTGTCAGTCAGCACTAGGGTATTCAAACGATTAATCGTCGATCGGTTAATCGATAAATTTTTGACGATTAATCATTCGAATAAATGAAAATTCCCTAATTTCAAATAACGAATAAATCGAATAACTTATATCAATTAACCGATTAAGAAAAACTTATTATTTAACAGTAAAATTACTGTATTTCTTATACAAAATTCAATATTTTTATAATAAATTTTCTTTCTGTATTAGTTTCTTAAAGAGGGTTACGTTAGAAATGGGTTATAATGAAAAATATATATTGGATGATTTTTATAACAATACTTCAGAAACATTGTAATAAGTTGTTCTGATTTACCTTCTTCAAGAATGGGTTCATGCAGAAACATTTCAGATTTCTGAGAAGAAATCTTGAAATTAATGATATCGCCTTTACTTCTACATCCAGTTTTGAGGAACAGTGTTGTGTTTCTAAAGTATTTCTTATAAGTTCTTCAGCAATACATAATAATTATTTATACACTAGTTCATTAGAACGTGTAAATTCTGGAACTCGTTAAAAAATCTCAAAAACATGAAATTAATTAACTTAATTTGTTTATATAGAAGAGTAAGTATTTCACATGAAAATAAATAATTTATAATATTTGAAAAAAAAACTTAATTAACAAATTTTAATAGAATTGAATTTAAAGAAGTGAAATTATAATTTTGTTTGTTTGGATGAAAAATATTTTAAAAAAGAAACAAAAAAAACATCCACTTTCCTTTTATTCGATTAACCGAATAATTTTGAATTATCCGACTATTAACCGGTCAATTTAAAACCCCAAATAATTATTTGTCGAATAAACCGAATAAGACAAACCCGAATAATTGAATACTCTAGTCAGCACCAGAGATACAAGCCGATGGGAAATGATCGGCGGAAGCGGCGCAACCATTTTGGGTCGGCGGCGGCGGCTAAATTGTCGGCTCAATTTAACTTTTTCTTTAGAAATTGACCTTATAAGGTTTATTATATTGAAAAATCTTTGTATAATAGTCTGTTACATAGAAACCTGTCTCTATATAAATTTTTTTCTGCAGAAAATGGACATTTATAGTAGTTTTCACTATTTTAATATTAGCACAATATTGTGTGGCAACTCTTTTCAATTTGCCATAAGAATTTAAAATAGTGGCAACTCCGTTCAATTTGGTGAAATTATGTTCTGAAATACATGTGTGATAATCACACATGTGATTCTAGTCTTTATCAGCGGGCGGCTACGTTTAAGCCGGCTTAGCTTTTGAGCCGAAAGAAGTCGGCGGCGGCGCGGCTTGCAAAATATTACCGGCGGCCAGCCGGCGCCAATTTGAGCCGTCTCGGCTTGTATCTCTGGTCAGCACGCAATTTTTAATTTATGTGTTAAAATTATTTAATAATTTTAATTTTATTTATTTATTATATACCCTCACACTCTTCTTTGGATCCAATGACCGAAGGCTGTTCAAAATTATTGAAATAGGATATTTTATTTCTCCTAGTCAGCATATACAACCCATGGAAGAGATTCAATAAAAAATACTTTATATCAAAGAATAATCTTTATATATTGAAAACGAAATCACATTTTATTTATTAAGTCGAAGAAAGAAAAATAAATGGTCGGTCACACCCGACTTATTATATAATTTTAATATGTTTAGAGTTATATAATCATTTATATAAACTAACATATTTTGTGTATACTTTTTCAATTAATTAATTATGTATTATATTTAAACCCCCCCATTTTCACCATCTATCTCCAGTTATTAATTTATTTTTTTTTTTATTTATTTATTTTTTATTCTTCCAGTTTAGACAATTTTTGTATGAGAAAGAACTGTCAATATTCTTAAAGTTAAAAAATAATAACTAGACATTAATTGTGAAAATGGGTAAAACAACTACTGTTTCATTAAAAAATGTATTTAAATAAAATTTCCATAATTTCTTTCTTCATCAATCAACGTTTGTTTGTGTTATTCCATATCATTCCATTAGGTTGCCTAAAATACAACCCTGTATTAATAGTGCTAAAAATTACAACGATGTTCAAAAAAGTAAATATGCAAAGAAATTATCGTGTCATGCGTCATTCCACTTTTGGACGAGGTTAGGTAAGAACGTCTGCGGTTGTTCGCGTTGGTGCACGAGTTTTTTTTGTTAAGAGAAAAATTAAAAAGTTATAAAATTAAGTGTGATATATATAGTATTAATTTTATAAATTTACCAAATAAAATGTTTAAAATAATAGTGCCTCTACTTGCTAAAAACTCGTGTTACGAAAATGCGAATACAAAAGCCGCTTATTGTATTAAAAATTTTTTAATTTCATCATCAACCAACAAAAATGTGATGGAAAATTTAACACAACGACGCCATTTTCTTTTTTCAACAACCAACAGAAAAACCATTCAAGCTTTTCCCACAATACCTCATCAGTTAGGAGTTAGTAACCGCAATTTAGGACGTCAACAACTAGAGCTCCTTCCTACAAATAAAATTACTAAGGAATTTTATCGAGAATTTAAACACTCTAGCGTGTACTTAGTGGAATCTTCAAATTACAAAGGAGAAGCGGTTGACGAGACAACTCTTAAGGAAAAGCCTGCAAAAGTCCAAGAAACCAAAAGGGATTCAGTTAATAGAAGACAAACATCTTTATATCAAGAAGACTACTCAGACGAAGAAAACAAATTTGGTAACATGTAAGTAAAAAAAAGTAATTAATTTTTAAAGTAAGAAAAAATGTGGTTTTGAGTCGACCATTTTGTAGGTTAGTTACTTTTTTAGTAGTTTTTGTTTTAGTAGATTTTTTCTTAAAATTTTTTGTATGTATACCAAAAGTCTGGGTTTTTTCCTACGCAAACATTCTCTTTTGTGCTAATTTTCTTCCCTTGTTTGTTAAACATGTGTTTGTAAACTCGGAATATGAAAAAAGACAAAATGGACAGACTATAAAACAGAAAATACAATAAAAATTAACCCTTAATCGTTTTCTATGTATACATATTTTTTCTTGAAAATTACTGATACTGACATTTCTTACTAATGTGTATTAAACACATTTTTCTATTCTAAAACTACCTGTTATAATTTCACTTTCCTACAAATTACCCCCTACCTACCTTTTGGGTTGTATTTTCTCTTACAATATACGGAAGAATATGCGTCATATTAAAAAAACCAGTCCAAGAAAAATACACGTTTTTTTGCATTTGCCTCGTGTTTTATTTTACATTTTGTTGTACACACACGTTCGTATCTATGTTGTTGTTTTTGCTTTATCATTTATTAGATTGCTTATACATATTTATTCGTGACTTCATTATATAAAATCAATGGCAAAATTTCTTATAATTATTTGCCAACTCAACATTATTATATGAATTTCTTGTGTGTTTGTGTTTATACCACTAGAAAACGCCGTGATAGACATGTTATAATAATGGCTATTCATAGCTGTCGGTCTAATCTTGTATTTTACGACTGCTCTTTGGCATTTTGTTGTCAGATGAAAGGCAAGCAGAAAAATACCCAAATATTCACACATACACAACAATAATTTGAATTTGACGTTAGAAATAGGGAAGATAAGCAAAGCAAAAAGAAACTTAAATAGGTATTGTAGGTACCTAATAGATGTTGATAGAAATATTTGAAACGCAATATGGTTTTCATTATTTATTTATGACGCCATTTATGTTCTCAGTTAGATATATTCTAAACTTTATAATATGAAATTAATAAAAAATAGTTTATGATTATTTTAGTTAACAAATTTTATATATTTAGATCTTGATCAAACATTCATAACATATCGACAGCCTAGATGGGGAAAATTGTCAACTTCTAGGTATTCTTTGTCAGGTCCTTGAACTAAAAAATGTTACGTTCGCACATGCTCCCCCAGATGCATGTACGAATACCCTATAATTTCAAGTAATCCTAATAGAATGGTTCACAATGCAATATTTGAAATTTTTAATATACTCGGAAGTTTTACCCTCGAGTTCTATCCAAAAAAACGAATTTTTTATTTGTTCACATATTAAGTCATATTTTACTGTCATATCGTGATATAAACTACAACCAAATTCTTTATAAGGTTACTTTCTTTAAACTTTCTTTTCCTTATTTTTTTCCTAATCTACATTACAAATCCATTTATTAAACTTAATATCTCTATAAATTAGATTTATTGCATGTTTTCTCTACTCTTAACAGACAATTATTTATATTACCCTTAATTTAAAAATAAAACTTTAAATAAATATCAAAAAATACAACAACTAAATACACGCGACAATCAAGAAATCCAAGTACATTTTATAAATTTACCTCAGAAATCAAATAGAAAAAACATAGATGAACGAATAAAAACACAACTAGACAACAAACAGTGGCAGTACCAACAGCCAGATGGTATATAATTTTTCATTAATTTATAATTTAAACAACCAACAACCAACAAACATGCAAACACAATTTAAAGCTCATACATGTAATAATGAACTGATTTTTGTTGGCAAATACACTATTAAATAGCTCATTATTTTATAAACGTATTAATTTTATAGAGAGAAAGAAAAAAAAAAAACAAACAAATTTATATTGAGATTAAGCAGATTTCGTAATGAAAGAAAAATCTCTATTTCTTTGCCTCATTTTATATGTTTTGTGAACTCATTATTATTGAAGAATTTTAGCAGTACACATTAAAATTTTTAAAATCAAATAACTGTTTTAGTTTTGAAAAAATGCCTAAAATTGAAAATAAAAACAAAACTCATAGAAAATCTAAAAAAAGGCAGGATATATTTTATCAGTTCGAAAAGTAAATTTATGGTTTTTCTTTGCTTTTAGGGCTCCTCATGACAGAACTTATGGTGGTAACCGTGGTGGACGTGATGAACATGGAGGTTCAGGCGGTGGTAACCGTTATGGCAACAGAGGAGGCGGCGGTGGTGGTAATGACTACCATGGCGTTCGCAAGGGCCGCGTTGAAAAAGGAGGTCGTGGTAATGACCGTGGAGGTCGCGGAGGTGGCTTCGGCGGCGGTTTCAACGATCGTCGTGGTGGCAATGGAGGTGGTAATAACCAGGATTTGTCCATCCGCGATATGGATTTCACAAATTTGGCTCCTTTCAAGAAGGATTTCTACAAAGAGCATCCCATTGTTGCCAATCGTTCCCCCTATGAAGTGCAACGTTATCGCGATGAACATGAAATCACAGTACGCGGTGATGCCCCTAACCCCATTCAAGATTTCGATGAAGCCTACTTCCCTGATTACTGCATGAAGGAAATCGTCCGCCAAGGCTACAAAGCTCCCACACCAATTCAAGCCCAAGGCTGGCCCATTGCTATGAGTGGCCACAATTTCGTTGGTATTGCCAAGACCGGTTCTGGCAAAACTTTGGGTTATATTTTACCCGCCATTGTGCACATTAACAACCAACAGCCTTTGCAAAGAGGTGATGGTCCCATTGCTTTAGTTTTGGCACCCACTCGCGAATTGGCACAACAAATCCAACAGGTTGCCACTGAATTTGGCTCATCTTCGTATGTACGCAATACATGTGTATTTGGCGGTGCCCCCAAAGGTGGTCAAATGCGTGATTTGCAACGTGGCTGCGAAATTGTTATTGCCACCCCTGGTCGTTTGATTGATTTCTTGGCCGCTGGCGCTACAAATTTGAAACGTTGCACATATTTGGTTTTAGATGAAGCCGATCGTATGTTAGATATGGGTTTCGAACCTCAAATTCGTAAAATTATTTCCCAAATTCGTCCCGATCGTCAAACTCTTATGTGGTCCGCCACCTGGCCCAAAGAAGTCAAACAATTGGCAGAAGATTTCCTCGGCGACTACATACAAATCAACATTGGTTCATTGGAATTGTCGGCCAATCACAATATTCGTCAAGTCGTCGAAGTTTGCGATGAAAATGACAAAGAAGAAAAGTAAGTATTCAAATATTCAAACTTCTTTTAAATAACAATGCAATTACATGAATATATTTTAATAATATTTTATGTTAATTCCCATCTATTTCCAGACTTAAAGCTTTGCTCTCCGAAATTTATGATACCAGCGAAAATCCTGGCAAAATTATTATTTTTGTTGAAACCAAACGCCGTGTCGATCATTTAGTACGTTTTATCCGTAGTTTCGGTGTACGCTGTGGCGCTATTCACGGCGACAAGTCACAATCTGAACGTGATTTTGTTTTACGTGAATTCCGTTCTGGCAAATCCAACATTTTAGTTGCTACTGATGTAGCTGCTCGTGGTTTAGGTAAGTCTTTTTGTAGCTTCTTCTTCATCATCTCAACAAGCATTTTGCATTTTGATTTATCTTGATTTTCACCATCCATAATATCATTCACTCATATTTTCGTTTCTAATGGCTAAAGAAAAAATAAGTTGGAAAAGATTTCTAAAAGAAAATTTAAAAATGTTTAAAAACTTCACATGCAAAAGTAAAAAAAATTATCAATTTTTATTATTGAACAAAATATGTACTACTTTTTGTGATAAATTAATTTATATATTTTGCATTTGAAATTTTACATTTTTATTCTTTTTAGTATTGGTTTTTGTAGTCTTTAAACAATTCACTTCATACCTCTTAACACTCAGCTGCTGAGATTCATTCTAAAATGTTGTAAAAATACAATAGCCATTTACTAGCAACTACTCACTTAGAATTTTAATTATAAGATCTCTTTTAACATGACTTATTAATACTTACGGAATATTTTTCTCCTTTCCCCCCTTATCATTTCCCCCAAAACAATGTTTTGTTTTCGTTTCTTCCAAAAACAATCTCTTTTTCCGTTTCGTTCACAGAGGCCATAAATGGTTGCATGGTGGGGATAAAATGTCAGCTAGTAATCTGAAATTGAAATAGAAATTTTAATGGAAATTTTGAAAGTTGAAAAAGAATACCATTGCAATGTGAAAGTTGTCAATGATGCATTACATTACATTTTAAAAGTAAAACATGAAAGCGGCGGCAAGCGGATAGGCGGCAACACTTTTTTACCACAAGGCCATTGGAAAAAAGGGTATGTCGTAGTACCGTAACACCACCGCTACCGAACGGTATATGCTTTACATGTCTAGTAAAAACAAAATCACAAGGAGGCGGTATATTGATAGAAGGCAAGAAAAAAATGTGGTTACGCTTTTGTATGATGGAGTCTCAAATTATAGCAGAGCGTAGCAATAGCATTATTTTTCATATATGCTGCAGTTAGTAAATGCTACAACTAAAATATACCACCACCTTTAACAAATCCGTGTAATAATAATGTCTACCTAACGACTCATATCCCTATCATCATCATGTATTTATATTACAAGAGGCCTCTGAAGTCTTAGTTGTTAACACGACTAAATAGGAGTATATCTATCAATATTACAATTATGTATTGATGTAGTAGAACTTTGTATAACTATAAAAACACAATATACAATCTTTACCCTGTATTTTTGGGGACACACGGGAACAGCATTAAAAAGACGGAGTGCATACCAATCAACCAGAGAGAAAATAAAAACCATTTTTTAAAGGGAACTTTTTGAAATTAGTTTTTATAAGAAATAAAATTATTCCTTTGTAAAAATTCTCTCATGAAACTGGAAATGCTCTCCGCTTAAAAGTTGGACAAACAAGCAAAATAAATAAAAGCACACGCAGGCAAACAGGAAAACAACCTATGTATATTACTCTCTCTCAACTATGACTCAACATGATGTCTCTAATGTGTTCTTTGATTAAGTACTAGTTGAATAAAATTAAAAATAAAATCAACATACTAAGTTTCAATTAGAAAAGGCTGGATCATTATGCCAACAATAGTGATTTGGTGGTTTCTATTTGGAAATTCTAACTTTGCAAAGTATTAAAGAAAGCTGTGTATGACAGACGTATTAAATGGAGTCGTAACAAATGTTGAATAGCTGTTGTGTATGATGGCAAACCAAAAACTACAATACGACAACATCATCATTTGCTTCAACGTTCTTCATTCCCAACAGTACGTTGTCAGCTATAGTAAATATGAATGAAAGGAGTAACAAAGAATAAAACTAACAAAGGACACATTTTAGTCAGAAACCAGTGATAGTTTATTTTTTAATCCAAAACAATGTCTACATGCTTGCGTTATTTGTGTGTGTGTGTGTGTGTTCGTAAGTGTACAACCGGATGGATGCTGGAGCCTTAGGCGCACTAAACTGCTAAACATATTGGTGCGCTACACTCGTGACAAAACATGAAAGTGATGGCTTTGGCTTCTAATCAACGTATACAAACAAACAAAAACCAACTCTCCTGCTGATCATGTGTGTCTAGTTCTAAAAAAACAACTCAAATATTTGTTGTAAGCGTATCTAAACTAACGTTGTTGAAAAAAGCTAAACCGAGATATCAAAACCGACGTTTAGTTTTGTTCTTAAGAAAAAATACATTTCAAGTTGTTTATAAAAGACTACAGGCTCTTCAACACTACGTCGTCTTAATGCCCATTCTACAGCACCTAAACGACGTGGCTGCGAAGAGTTTGCCCCTCTCAATATTAATTGATACGAAATAATAAAACCGAAAATCACAAGGTAAAGTAACATATTTATTTTACACCAAAAAAAGCTCTTAAACTTTTATTTAATCAATAACAAGCGAACACTTTGTATTAAGTTTTATTAAGTATAAATTAAAATAAATTTATTTTTCAAAATTCTAATCTTAAAACAAAAGTGTTAGCAACTCTTTGTTTATAAAAAAGGACAAAATATAAAACTAATATTAAACTACAAGTCATGGAACAACAAGAACTCTTTATCTAATTTTTTAATACTATATCATTTAATTTGTATTTGTTTTAGTTTATTTTTTACTTGAAAATTTTAAACATTATTAATTTGTGTTTTTTCTTTTATATGTTCTTTATTTATTTCTTAAACAATTTTTACAATTGTTCTAAAATAAAATAGATGTTGATGGCATTAAGTTTGTAATCAATTTCGATTATCCACAATCTTCGGAGGACTATATTCATCGTATTGGTCGTACTGGTCGTTCAAATACAAAGGGCACATCATATGCATTCTTTACACGCAATAATGCTAAACAATCCAAAGCTTTAGTTGATGTTTTAAGAGAGGCTAATCAGGTAATTATTAATTTAACTATTTTTTGTTAAAATATATATGGATTAAAAAAAACATATAAAGTAAAAAATGAATCATTTTCTTTAATTAAGAAAACAAAAATTTAATACAGCTTTTATTACATAATTACAATAACAAATATTTTAAACAAATTTGTTTCACCAACAAATAATTTTGGGAATGTATATATTTTTTTCAGAAAGCCTTTTGCAATCATTAAAATAAAACTAATTCTCATATTTTCCTTTAATTTTCCCTTTATAGGAAATCAGTCCTGCTTTAGAAGGTATGGCACGCAATAACCGCTTTGGCGATGGTGGTCGTTCACGATATGGCGGTGGCGGCAATTCTCGCTTCAATGGCACCTTCAAAAAGGGTTCAATGGGCGGTGGCAACCGAGGCTATGGCAACAATAACGGTGGCGGTTATGGTGGTGGCCGCAGCTACGGCGGTGGTAGCAACAATGAAGGAGGCTACGGACGCGGTGGCGGCAGTAGTAGTAATGGCGGTGGTAATACCAGACATACGCGTTTTGATTAAATAAAAAATCAAGAATTAGTTTATAAGGACCTAATATTAAATTAATTTTAGTATATGTATTTTTAATTTTTAACTATAACAAACAGATTTGTTTCTCATCCTAACAAACAATACAAAAAACACAAAAATCAATATTTTTAGAATTGAAAAAAAAACAAACAAAAAAAAAAAAACTCATTATAGAGTATAATTTTCTAGAACAAAATATAAAATCACTTTTTTGAATTGAAAAAGACAAAAAAATAACAAAGCAAGAATACTTTTATTTAAACATAAAGTAAACAATTTACTTAAATCAGCACAAGAGGTACAGTGCATTTCGTTTTGTGATACTCTACATATTTTTCACTTTTTGTCAACATCTTTTTTAATTCATTAAAATCCAAATGAAAAATAAAACGTTTTTACAAATAAACTTACAATTACACATGTTATTACAACAGGAATTAAATAACAACTTTTGGAAATAAGTTCTTAAAATAAAAACAAAATTACTTAAATAAAGAGCGGTCTTATTTTCACAAAAAAGGAAAACCGCAATGGTAAAACAGTTGGAAGAGAGTTTTATACTGTATACATGAAAAACAAACTTCATTAGCTCGTTTTAGCGTGTAATTGTTTGTGTAGTGAAAATGTATGTAATTTTCATAGTTTTCTTTTAGTTTATAAAAAAAATTTTATGTTTATTTCTATTTTTTTCATAATAGTTTTTAATAAAGCTTTGTAAACAAAAATAATTCTTCTCGTAACAAGCGCGTGTGTTTAGGAGTCCTCCTTTTTAATCTTTGGTCACATTTTGTAAATGTGTATATAAAGCTGCGACTAAACATCAACTAGTTTTTAAGTTTAGCCACCATTTTTTTTTAATACATAATTTTAATTTCGGTTGTGAAAACCATAGTTCGTTTCTTCTTTTTCTTATTAATGTTCTTAAATACTCTTTTATTAATAAATGTATGTTTTATGAGTTTTAATGAATTTTTTTCACATCCATTCTTATACTTGTACATTAAAATATACTTAATACTAAAAACAATTAAACTTACAACAATATTTTCAATGCCCACAAATTATTTTGTATGAATAATATGAAAATAAGAAAAAATAAATAATTTAAACAATAAATATTACTGAAACTCTGAACTTGTTTGTCTGGTATTTATTTTTAGTGGAAAAGAAGAAATTTCAAATCGTTGGTGATTACTGATAACTTTTTTTTTCCATCAAAAATTGATTTTTCGGTATTTGAGTGAAAAAATAAATAAATTTTCTCGAAAACTGCAGGAGTAGAGCAACTGCATTGGAACTTTTATTTGCCAGAAGCAACGTTTTTTATACCCTCCACCACCATCAGTGGTGATAGAGGGTATATAAAAGTTTGTCGTTCCGTGTGTAACACCAAGAAATATTCATTTAAGACCCAACAAAGTATATATATTCTGGGTCCTTATGAAATTCTGAGTCGATTTAGCTATGTCCGTCTGTCTGCCTAAAATACGCTCACGTAAAAACTAAGCAAAGGAAATCAACCAAATTCACCCAAAATATTTATTATTATCCTAAGCATTTTGTTATTGAAAATCAGTTCAAAACGTAATAACTTATGAGTAAAAATTTTAGACTACCTCGAAAAAAATACTTTTTTTTTCCTAATTCTTTTGAAGTTTTCTCAGAAACTACCAAAGATTTTGCGATGAATTTTGTCACACATTATTTTTTCAAGCCATTGATTAATTATGTTCAAAATCTTTACAATCGATCCTATATTTCCCATAGCCCCCATACAAAGGTATATATTCCCGGAAATTAGTTTATCGTTAATAACTCCCTCAAATATATCGGTATCAACACAAAATTTTGTACATGCAAATATAATGTAAACAGAAATCATAATATCAACGTAGATATCAGTCGGTCCACAATTGGTCATAGCTCCCATATAAATTCCACTTCCGAAAATCAATTAAACACACATATTTCATTGATAAATAAAGCTGTTGTGATAAAATTCGACACAGATATGTTTTGCATACATACAAATCATTCTACTAAATTTTTTCCGGATAGGCCCATAATTGGTCATTGCTCCCATATAAGGTCCACTTCCGAAAATCACTTAAACGCATATATTTCATTGAATTCAAAAGCTAGAGGGATAAAATTCGACACAAATATGTTTTGTGTACATACAAATCATTCTACGAAATTTTTTCTGGATAGGCCTATACTTGGTCATAGCTCCCATATAAGGTCCACTTCCGAAAATCACTTAAACGCATATATTTCATAAAATTCTAAAGCTAGAAGGATAAAATTCGACTTGAATATGTTTTGTGTACATATAAATCATTCTACCACTTTTTTCCCGTATCGGTAAATTATTGGTCATAAATCCCATATAAGGCCCATTTCCGAAAATCACTTAAATGCACATATTTCATTGCCAAATAAAGTTATCATGATAAAATTCGACACAAATATGTTTTGTCTTTATATGAATCACTCTACGAAATTTTTTCCGGATAGACTCCCATATAAGATCCACTTACGAAAATCACTTAAACGCATATATTTCTTTGAATAATAAAGCTATCGGGATAAATTACGACTTGAATATGTTTTGTGAGCATATAAATCATTCTACGGAATTTTTTCCGGATCGGTCCATAAGTTGTCTTAGCTCCCATACAAGGTTTACTTCTGAAAATCACTTAATACCACTTAATTCGTTATTAAATGATTATATCCGGATAAAATTCGACAAGAAAATGTTCTGTGTATAGATATATCATCGTATTAAAATGTTTTCGAACTGGCCTATAAATATAAATTTTTCTGGACTTAATTAAAATTAGATTGACATATGCATATCAATACGGAAACAACAATTTTGCCAAGTTATCTAAAAATTAGATAGTTAATTAAAAATAGCTTGCTGGAGGGTATTTAAGATTCGTCACAGCCGAATATAGCACTCTAACATGTTTAAGTCTAAGAAAGTCAAAAACAAGAAGATTTTAATTATTCGTGTGTGTCCTTGCTTTTACTACCAGACCACTAACCACATGCGTTTAGTCTGATTGCAGAATTAAGGGGAACGGGCCCTTAATCAGGTCAGCTGGTAACCAGTTCGTGATGAAGTAAAATTGATGGCAATTTTTCAAGTGCATTTTAACTTATAGGCCTATCACATATCGTCACCTGAAACGCAAACGACCACGAACCACATGCGTTTAGTCTGATTGCAGAATTAATCAGGTCAGCTGGTAACCAGTTCGTGTTGAAGTAAAATTGATGGTAATTTTTCTAGTGTATTTTAACATACATATAGGCCTATCATATTCTGATCGGAGTGGTTTCGAATCGAAATTTTCTGCGTTTTGTATTTCATATCTACGGTCGTAATGCAGAATACACGATATTACAGCATTGAAGCTAAAAAGAGAACACAGATCTTGAAGAATGTAATATACATTCAGGATTCCAAAACAAAATCGATCGTAATAATAATAATACGGAATTGAAACCATTCCGATGGAAATGTATTTGACAGACCTGTACGTAAGTTATCAGTGGCTTTTTGCTAAATCTTTTCTGATGCTAAATTACCTGTTATAGATCAAAATCTAGATGGGCAGAATTATTTGAGACTCTTATTTAATAGAATTGAACTCAAAGAACTAAAACAGGTCACAAGTGAGTCCAATAAATATAAAATTTACATTAAGTAAAAGGTCATACCAATGTTTATATATGTAATTTAGTTAAGCACAGGATTCCAAAACAAAATCGATCGTAATAATAATAATACGGAATTGAAACCATTCCGATGGAAATGTATTTGACAGACCTGTACGTAAGTTATCAGTGGCTTTTTGCTAAATCTTTTCTGAGGCTAAATTACCTGTTATAGATCAAAATCTAGATGGGCAGAATTATTTGAGACTCTTATTTAATAGAATTGAACTTAAAGAACTAAAACAGCTCACAAGTGAGTCCAATAAATATAAAATTTACATTAAGTAAAAGGTAATACCAATGTTTATATATGTAATTTAGTTAAGCACTATAGCAAAAATATTATCCAACATTTGTTCCATTTCTCGCGCTTCTCTCATGAAAACGAAACGTCCATTTGAAAAACCCTTTTGTACTGGGGTAATTTGAGTAATTTATTAGCTACCGGAAAACTTAATTTGTCCAAATTCAGAAGATAGATATTTTTAAATTTTGTCCAGCTAGATTTTGATTTTAAACGTGATCGAACATGCTTTAGTATCGAAAACACATTTTGATATCGAAATTATGTTAAAATATACTGCATTTCGTGTTCGGTATCGAATATGCCATTATATCAGAAAGCAAAATTACTATCAAATTAACTCAATCTGTTTAATCCTTCCTTTTCTTGATATGTACTTACTAATACCATTAAATAATGAATACCTTGATTGAATTTCCTTTGTTGTTTTTTTATAATTTGTTTAATGGGGATTAAACTACAAAAAACATTCGATTTTATTATAAGCCAACAGGACTGAGCAAGAAAATTCGATTAAATTTTATCACAAACCATTAACCAAATACAATTAACGAGTCACTAACGATTATTTTCCATCATTGTACTTTGCCATCATAAAACGCAATGAACGAAAGATTTACTAACTAATATAGTATATGACAGTTATAAATCTTTGAATATGAAAGAAGAAAATGTATTTTTCTTGTCCGCCTTCTTTTTAAATAATTTTTAAAAATTTTCTCAAAGTGAAATATGTAAAAGTTTGGAGGGAGTCAGTATCAACGAATATAAGACTACCTACATATATACTATACCTATGTATGTATGATACATTCAAATTATTGTTAGGGACCGTTGGATTTTTAGGGGCTTATTAGTAATATAAACTTTTATTTTTTATAGTTCTGAGATTGACATACATAATATAAGGTCTTGTATGGCTTTTTTATTTCATATACATTAACTCTTTTTGTTTAAGTTAAAATTATGAAGTTTTATATAGATCATAAATATGAAATGAAGAAAAGCTAAGAAAAATATATGTATGTATGTAAGTATATATATACGACCCATTACAGGTGAGTCAAATTTAATTAACACTTAAGCAAGGAATTCAATCAGGAAAAACCATTATAGCGGTATCATTTAAGTGAAAATGATAGAGTGAAACAGAGAGGAAAAAAATCACAACTGACAAAGCAACAGTAACGATAAACTATAGAAGAACTCTGGTCAACTAGTAGTAATGTTTACTAAACTTCAGGGTACTGTTAAAAAAATAGACAGACGTGAGTGAAAATTAAAAGAAAGTCCTGGAGAAAAGCAAAAGATAAAATAATGTACTCGTAAGTAGTAAGAACAACAAAAGAATTCAATT